TCACTTAACTAGAGACTGAGTCTGGCCCTTTGTTCTGTGAGAGGTAGAAAGTGTGGTGGTGCCTTTTCAAAGCGCAGCATTTAGCCAGTTGCAGTAGCCTGTCCCTTTTGCTTACCCTGATTCTAAAATGAGCGTAGATTTGCCCGAGCCTCTGATCAGGGCCGAGGGCAGCTCTGCATCAGGTGGACAGCGGGCAGGGCGCCCGCCCTGAGCTCGCCAGCCGGTTGGGGAGCATGCCCTGCCCGCAGAGTCGGGTTCCCTGCAGCCCCTCCTTTTCTCCAACAGTTTCCAGGTGTCGAATCTGTTTTGCTGAAGACGATGTCTCTTCCTCCATGCAGAAGGTTAAGATCCGTTTGGCCCTTTTCGTCCCGTTTGCTGCTCCTGCCCCGTCAGGGTGTCTGCGGTTCCCATGAGGCTTGATGGATTAATTTGTTTGTTTCCTACGTGACGACTGTGGCGTCCCCCAGTGAACACCTGTCTTTCCCTTCGCCCCTTTCCAGATGCCCCCTAGCTGTGCTGACCTCGGCCCTGTGTGGTGTGGCCGTCTGGTGGATTGTGTGTGACTACATTCTTCCCGTCCTCCTCTTCTGTCTCGAGGGTCTCAGAGCACAGTAGCCAGCGGGACCCTTTGACAGGTGGCTGCTGTAAGTCCCGCTCCTTCTCTCTGGCTCTCTGCTGGCCTGCGGCGTGGTTCTGCCATGCATGCCGTCCTCCATGCCGGCTCTGCTGCTTGCTGGGTCTGCCCCATCCACAGGTTCTTCCCAGTGCCGGGGCTGCTGGCAAGGAGGGAGGGCTTCGCTGCTCCTTTCACGCAGGATCTGAAACCTAACACGGCCTGTTTCTAAGTTGCACTGAACTCTCCCCTGGTGTTCTGAAGTGGCCACTTGTTAACGCAGGCATTTTCACCTGTTCCTGCTTCCTGTCAGGAGCGTCTCGCTGGGGCCAGCGGGGGTTCCAGTCGGTCGCCTCTGCTGCCCCCCTCTCGTTCTCTGTACCTTGAGCATGTCCTCACTGACGTGGCAAAAAAAGAATCCTCTCCCTCTGGTCTGCTTCCAGCAGCAGGGTGGTTTTGTGGGCTTGTGGCGCCTGTGACCTGGCCCCTGCCATCACACAGTGGCTCTCCAGAGTCTTCCGTCTCCTTCCTCCTCCTCTGTAGGGAGCGCAGTGGGCAGAGCTGTTGACCTTGACTTAAAGGACATAGAAGGCAAGAGGCTGGGTGCTTGTGTCTGCATCCCCTCCGGCGTCTCTGGGCTCCGCTCTTCTCCTTTCCCAAAAATAACCAGAATGTCTTCATTCTCCTGAGACCCTTCATCCTTGAAATGAGTGGAGACACTTGCTCTGTGCAGGAGAATGTGGCGAGAAGTGTCGGTGGGACGCCACTGAATCAAGACCGGTGACCCTGAGGCTGGTCACCCTACATTCTTTATTTTCTAAAATTTTTTCGTTCACTCATATTTCAGAAATGCTTTCTGGTCCCATCTTGGAGTTGGAAATTACAGAGAGTTCCTTCTAGGATCTCTTCCAAAGTCAAATTCCACGGCCGCCAACTGGGTGCCTTGTGGTTTCAGTGAGTGTTTTCACATGGACAAGAGAGACTGAAAAATGAAGCAGATTATGCTCTTTGCATCCTGAGAAGGAAACCCCTCTGCCTGTCCTTTCTTAGGGCACTTTCTTGAGTGTCCTTAGCTCCTGGCGTCTCTTCACCCTGGCGGTCTCTGACGTCCGTGGTCTTCTGGGTGCGGCTCCTTCCCTCCTTCAGTGAGCTCTGAGGTCCACGTGCGCAGGAGCCTGGGCGCTTCCTTGACCTCAGACTGTCCAGGTGGCCACGGAGCTCCAGTCGGGGAGTTGGTGCTTGGGCACCTCACTCCCAGGGTCCCTTGCTGC